AATCAAACCAGGATCTCCCCTTGTCAAAGGCGAGAATTCTACCACTGAAGCACTAATGCCCCATTTGTATTGTAGGTAATTGTCTCAAAAGTACATAAAGTAGCCTAGAAAGCAGTGGCCCTTCTGCTTGAAGGACTCATCATTCCTACTCAAATCCCAAGACTTCTGGGAACAGGAAAGAGGACTCTAGGAAGCTGTGGAGTAGGGCGGGGGCACCCATGAGGACAGGACAGCTGGGACATGGAGCTTGGCCACTGGGCTTTGAGGCTGCAAGGCCTCAAGCTGAAGACGGGGCAGGCATCCCCATGCCCAGTGTGTAGCTGACCGTTGCTGAAAAGCGTCCAATGCCAGACTGCACAGAGCACCCAGTCGTCCCACCATCCTTTGTCCCAAAGGGCTTTCATGGACACTATCTCTTAGATGTCACAAAACGCTGTGGGGTCAGCTGTAAACTTCTAACAGGATTCTACGTAACGGCTTACCCTCACCACCAACCGCAGTGCTGTAAGCAGCGCAAATCTAACATAGAAAACTGGAAACAGAAAGTGACAAGCAATGGGTCACTCTCCAAGCTCAGCCTCCCCGGTTTGGCTGAGCTGATGCAGACCCCTTTCCGCTCCCATGCCCCTTCTCCATCCCCCCAGCTGACTTCTCAACACCCCTGACGAGTTCAGATGTGTAATTACTTCCTTTGCCTATGTGTTTAACAAGTAGAAGGTCTGACGCCCCATCCTCCACCCCATCAGAAGGAATCCCTATGGAAAAATGAACTGGCTATCACCTGACACGGCGGGAGCTCTCACTGCATGGATGAGGGATGGATATCTGCTGCATAGATGAGAATGTGATGCACGTATAAGTATCTGTTGGATGGATGAGTGGATGGGTATTTGCTGCCTGCATGAGTGGATGAGCATTTACTGCACGGATGAACGGATGTCCTTTGCTTGGGTAAACATTACAGTTTTTGTGATCTTCTTGTTGATTTATCAGAGCCTTTTACATATTAAGGCTGCCAGTTCCTGTTGTGCCTATCTGTGGGCACCCTTCCTTTCCCTTGGTTTACCGTATCTTCTTCTATCAATGGCAATATTTGAAATGTAAACTTTTAACCTCTTGAGGTTACATTTATAGCAGCCACAAGACCACAGGGAAGATACCTGTTGAGGAGTCCTGCCGGTAGGATGCTATACATCTCAAGGACTAGTTCTAGGAAACAGCGACCCAGGTGTTAAGGGAAGGTGCAGGAAGAAAATCTGCTCACAGTCCCTGACTCCCGGTGCTCCCACCTCTCCCTGCCCCCTCAGGTCCTCCTGCCTCTCCCAGTTCCCCATCCCAGGTCCTCCTGCCTTCCCCAGCCCGCCACTCCCTCCCCAGGTCCTGCTGCTTTCCCCAGGTCCTCACGCCCCAGGTCTTCCTACCTTCTCCAGGCCCCTGCTCCACCTCCTCACGCCCCAGGTCCTCCCACCTTCCCCAGCCTCCGCCCCAGGTCCTCCCACCTCCCCCAGCCCCAGTCCCAGGTCTTCCCGCCTCCTCCAGCCCCCTGCCCCAGGTCCTTCTGTCTCTCAGTCTTCTTTCCCTTTCCCTCAGGCTGGTGAGGCCATAGGAGTTCAGGGTCAGTGCTGCCTAGGGACTTCAGTCCACCTTCTCAGCCTTGAAATGCCTTCATTTTTATTTATAAGACCAAGACCCATGAAGGCCAGAGGTGGGGCCCCAAAGTGCAAGGTGCAACTGAGGCGTTTGTTTGTTTTCATGACAATACCAGCCTTACCTGTCTTACTTATACTGTTACTCATGTGCCTGGCACGCGGTCTGGTACAAAGAAATGGATTACTGGCTCCTGACTGGCGATAGATGGGTTACAGAAGGACAGGTAGCTGGATACAAGGGTAGGTGGACAGATGAATGGATGGATGAGCAAATGGGTGGGTGGACAGGTGGATAAGTGGATGGATATATGGGCAGATGAATGGATGGACAGATGAGTAGATCAGTGAGTGTATGGATAGGCTGATGGATAGATGGGCAGACAAGGGAACAGGATTATTGGTGAATGTGCTAATAGATGGAGGAATGAATGCATGTGTGGGTAAGCAGATGTGTGGATATACGTACAGGTGGCTGGATAGCTGGATGGGCAATAGCTGGATGGGCAATGGATGGATGAATAAACGGAAAGATGGACGAATGAATCTATGGATAGATGAATGAGTAGATGGAAGGATGGGTAGATAAATGAATGTGAAGATAGATGAGTGGGGCACTGGATGGTTGGGTGGAGAGGTGAATGAATGGATGAGCAGAGAGATAGGTGGATGTGTGAGTAGATGGCTGGATAGCTGTATGGGTGATGAATGGACAGATGAGTAAACAGATGGATTAATGGATGGATGAATGGGAAGATAGATGGATGGCGAGATGAATGGACAGGGAGATAGACGAGTGGTGAATGGATGATTTGGCAGAGAAATGGATGGAAGGATGGATGAGCAGATAGACGGGTGGACAGATGGCTGGATAGCTGTATGGGTGATGAATGGACGGATGAGTGTACAGATGGATGAATGGATGGATGAATGAGTAGATAGATGGGTGGGGAGATGAATGGACAGGGAGATAGATGAGTGGTGAATGGATGATTTGGTGGAGAAAAGGATGGATGAGCAGACAGATGGGTGGACAGATGGCTGGATAGTTGGATGGGTGATGAATAGATGGATGAGTGGACAGATGGATGAATGCTTGAGTGGATGATGGGTAGATGAATGGATGAGGAGATGGATGAGTGGGTGAATGGATGGTTGGATGGAGAGGTAATGCATGCATGAGTAGATGGGTGGATGTGTGGGGAGGTGGATGGATAGATGAATGGGCAGATGAATGGATGGCTGGGTGGAGAGGTGAACTAACAGATGAGTGGATGGATGGGTAAATGGATGAATGAGTGGACAGGTGGATAGATGGATGAATGGACGGATGGGTGGACAGGTGTATGGATGGATGAGTGGATGGAGAGATGAGTAGATAGATGAGTGGGTGGATGTAGGGATGGGTGGACAAGTAGATGGATGAGAGGATGGATGGGTAGACTGATGGATGGATGTGTAGATGGTAGATAAGTGGATGGGCAGATGGATTAGTGGGTGAATGAATGGATGGGTGAAGAGATGGGTGGATGGATCAGTAGACATGTGGGTGAATGTGTGTGTAGGTGGATAGACTGGCAGATGAATGGCTGGATGGGCGGATAGGTGGATGAATGGATGAGAAGATGCATGGATAAGGAGATGGATGGATGGGTGGATGGATGGATGGATGGTGAGTGGCTATGTGGGTGTACGTATGGATATACAGACAAACAGGAGGGCAGATTGATGGGGTGTATGTGTTACCAGGTGAATGGATGCTGGCATGCACTGGGCATTGCAGGATGGTCACTACACAAGGAAGCCCGGCATCTGTGGAATTCCTGGATCATTTGTTGGAAGACAGACTGTCTTGAACGTAGAAAAATAAATTTTCACTAAAGAGGCAGAGAATACAGTCCCTTGAGGTCTCAGAGCCGCAGCTAAAGTTATAATGTTGACAGTAAACGTCACAGCCTCAACATGCTTCTCTGAACTGATAGAAACTAACAGATCCACCCACATCCAACTGTGACCCCAGGGACTGGTTTATGCTGAACATGCAAAGAGATGCAAAGAGGATTGCTGGCCTCAAGGGTCACAGAGTCCACAAGGGACAGACATTTGGGCTCGAGGCTCCTGACCCATCCTTTGAAGTTGATGTCCCAGAGGACGACTTGTGCCCCTTGGAGTGGGTGCCTGGGCTGGCTGCACACAAAGGCCAAGGCCCAGGGAGCTCTAGGTGGGGGACGGCTGAGCGCCGTGTGCAGGGGGAAGTGGTGGGAAGGAGGAAAGGGGAAGGGAAACTGCGGGTGGGATGGTGTCATCCACGCCTTCGCCTTGGTCCTTCTGCCTGTGTAATTAGCCTCCCTGCTGAGTGTGGACAGTGAATAAGGATGACAGGAGAAGAACTGATGTCTTTGGGCTGTGGTGCTGGAGAAGAGCACTGACTATCGCATGGACAGTCAAAAGGGCAGACAGACATGTCCTGGAGACAGTCAGACTGCTTCTTGGAAGCAAGGATGGCGAAGCTTTATTGCACATTCTTTGGATGTGTTGTTAGGAGGGGCTATTCCTTGGAGAGGGGCGACATGCTTGGAAAGGTGGAGGGTCAGGTAAAGAGAGGAAGACTGCCAGTTAGGTGGACTGACAGTGACTGCAGAGTGTGACAGAGATGAGGTCGTCACAGGGCAGGACACAGTTCAGATCTGGCGTTCACAGGGCGTCTGTTGGTCTTACTTTACCCGAAGGCACCTGATATTAACAACTGACAGAGGGCCTGGAAAAGCAGAGGGTCAGGGAAACAGAGGAAGACCCTCTTTGAGGTGGACTGTGGTGACTGCGCACAGCAGAGATAGAGAGGATAGCACAAGATGTGACCAGGCTTCCATCTGTTGGTTACAAGGTCATTATAACAACAACAACAACAACTGCAGAGGTCCTGACTCGGGGTTGGAAGAGAAGGCAGCAGAGTCCCCCGGAGCCTCCCTCAGTCCAGAACTGACCGTCACATCACCACTGATGCGGCAGCGGCTGCCCACTGCTTCTGCCTGTCCTCACACTTCCAGCTCCCACTCTCCCCCTCTGCAGAGAATGCCTCTCCCCTTCTTTATCTGGCGAGCTCCTATTCATCCTTCAACACTCAGCTCAGGTGTCGCCTCCTCCAAGAAGTCTCCCCTGACTGCACAGTCTACGAAACGCACTCCTGTCTTGGCACATGTGGCACAGCAGTGTCGTTATCCTCATTCTATTGGCCACCTCTCCTGCCAGTCCATGCACATGCGTTCGTGTCCCCAGGAGTCTGTCCCCCTCCCCTCCCAGGGGTGCTCGGACTGCCTGGCAGGGGATCGGGCAGGGTCCAGGGCGGCGACTCACCCTCGCCCAGCTGCAGCGCGGGGTCCATGAGCTCCATCATGTACTCCACGTTAAGGAGCATCTCTGTGAGGTTGCTGCGGGCCAGCACGTACATGAGCACCGGCAGGAAGTCGTCGGCCCCGTAGGGCTTGCCTGGGAAGAGAAGGAGGTAGAGGCGGTGAGCAGGGGACCCTCAGTGTGAGCTGCTCCCGGGATCCCTGAAGGAAGGACCTGAGGGTTTGGGGGTGTTTGTGGGGGGGTGCCCACTTCTGGAGAGAGGAGCCTTTCTGCTCTCGTGGCTGGATCAGCCTCCCTGGGGAGGGGGGAGACAGAGCAGGCTTAGGAAGACAGAACTGAGAAAGATGCCCTCCCTGGAGTGAGCAAAGCTTCAACCTCTTCCCCTTTCCTGGCTCCTGAGAAAACAGCCTGCTCGGCTCATGGATCCACCCAAGAGCCTGACGCCGACGGCCCAGGAAATCCTTCTGTCCTCGCGAACACATGTCCTCCTCCCACTCTGCAAAGCAAAACCCAAGGCCAGAAATTCCACAACTCAACCTTCTTTTGAGGAAAGCAGTGCCCTTTCCAGAAGATGCACATTAAACATGTACATACCCCTGGCAGGAATACCTCACCTTGTGTTGACACAATGGTCATGGGTTCGAACCCACCCTGTCTCTCTGTGGGAGAAAAGGCTGGGTAACCTCTGTCTGGAAAGATGCTGCCTGGGAAACCTTCCGGGGCAGTTCAGCTCTGTCCTAGAGAGTCACTATGAGTCAGAGCCGAACTGACCGTACACATCACAACCTTTGTTATGGGAGCCTTGGTGGGGCAAGAGGTAAACACTCGCCTGTTAACAAAAAGGTTGGTGGTTTGAAACTACTCTGTGGTTCCACTGGAGAGCAGACCTGTCAATCTGCTCCTGTCTGTCACCTTACAGGGAGTTTGGCTCAGTCACATGGGGTCTCTGTGAGAAGGTGGTATTAGAGCCTGGGGCACCTTGACAGTAAAAGGCAGGGAAGGGCATGCAGAGGGGACCCTAAAGGAGAAAAGTGTAGATGTAGAAAGAGGGGCCACCACCAGAAGATAAAGGTAAACAACCCAATTGCAAATGGGCACAGGCTATCAACAGACACTTCACTAAAGAAGACATTCAGATGGCCAACAAACACATGAGAAAGTATTCAAAATCCCCAGCTCTAAGAGAGATGCAAATCAAAACAACTATCAGATATCATCTCACCCCAGTCAGAATAGCAAAATTTAACAGAACAGCAAACAGCAAATGCTGGCGAGGTTGTGGAGAAACTGGAACCCTTATTGACTGTTGGTGGGAGTGTAAAATGGTGCAGCCACTGTGGAAAGTGGAATGGCACTTTCTCAAAAAGTTGGAAATAGATATACCATTTGACCCAGCAAATTCCACTACTGGGAATTTACCCTAAAGAAACCAGAACTGCCACCCAAGCAGATATATGCACACCCATGTTTATTGCAGCTTTGTTCACAATAGCAAAGAGTTGGAAACAACCTAAGTGCCCATCAACAAACAAAAGGACAGAGAAGCTGTGGTACATTCATACAATGGAATATTACGCTGCGTTGAAAAACAAGGAACTCATGCAATATTATTCAAAATGGGTGACCCTGGAGGACATTATGCTGAGTGAAATATCTCAGTCACAAAAGGACAAACACTGCATGGTGCCACTGTTGTAAAATAGACTAACACTGGGTTTGGGGCGAGTCTAAGAAAAGAGGGGATAAAAAAATGTATACTGCATTGAAACAGATAAGGGAGAGAACAGTTGAAAAGGAATATATAATTAGGTATTATTTTCATGACAAGTAGTGTCCAGAATAAGAGCTGCATAGTAAAGTGGACTCGGGGGCAGGAGGTAGGGGGAATTATGGAACAATGAAATAATTTTTTTTTCTTTTTAAAGAGAAGAGCTAACTGGGGGGGGGGGAGGAGATGTGCAACAATGTATGAATGGAAATCCAGTCTCTGTAAACTTTCATTAAAATATCAACCAAAAACAGAAAAGTAAGAAGAGGGGCACACAAGATGCCTCCACAATTTGGCAACAGGCTGGCTCCGAACTACCATGCTGGTCCCCAAGCCACCTCAGTTGAGTCTCCTTCTAACTACATCCTGCACTAATCTTTGGCTGTTTCCAGCCGTCCTCCCAAGGCCTGCCCTCCCAATGTCCTGAGTCATCTCCATCTCTGCTCAAGAACTATCAATGGCTCCCCATTGCCTAGCGGGGCAAGTGTGAATATTTCATTCTTGTCTCCAAGTCAACCCAGAGCGGAGTGCTGTCGGGCTCTCCCGTGTCATTCCTCCTACTCTCTACCAAGCCAAACTGTCTCATCGAGGATTCCAGGATGGATCACCTACATCCTGCCTCCTGACTTACCTCACCTACCTGCCTGCCAGCCCTCCCCAGCCCTATCATCTCCCATGCAACCTTCACATGCATGTGACATTTTACAAACACGAGACCAATGACTTCCTGAAATAACTGTGAGGTGGGTTAAGGGTCCCTCTTCTGCCCACGGTGCCCATTTGGCAGATGAGGAAACTGAGGCTCCTTGCCTGGGGTCGCATGGCTAAGATGTGGGAGACCTGGATTAGAACCCGCCTCCCCATACTCGTGCTGTTTCAGAATTCTTCCTTCTGCTGGCGCCTCCTCCACGAAGCCCTCCCAGACTGTCTCGGTTCCTGGGCTGTGACTCTTCCCGCGCCCACAGATGTGCTGCCTCCATGTTTCCCACGTGGCCCCCACCTGCTGTATCGGGGACGCTCCTTGCACACCTCACTCCTCTGTGCCTTTCCACCCAAAGCTCCCTGTGACCGTGACCCTCCCTACCTGCCCGACTCAGTTCCTGTCCACGCCCACACATTCTCAAGCATGGGTGGCCTATTGCTGGGAAGCTTCTCTTGCTGTTGTTGTTAGGTGCCATCTAGCTGACTCCCAACTCATGATGCCCTCAGGAGAGAGCAGAATTTCCGGTCCATGGAACCAAAGGTCTCTCCAGGCTTCATCTTTACAGGAGCAGATGGCCAGTTTTTTCTTTCTCCCTCAGAACTAAGACCTGCATGGGCTTGAACCATCAACCTTTTGGTTAGTAGCTGATGCCTAGCCATTGTGACAATAGGGCTTCCTCATTCCTAGTGAGGCTATTGTAAAAATCTGTCCCTTTCTTGGACTGTGAGCTCCCGAGGGCAGGGGCAGAGGCCAAGTGGCCCTGAGCAGGCCAAGCTCTCTGAGCTTTGCCCTTAGCCTTGGGCGTGAGATGCTGAATGCTGACCATGGACTGAGCTGAGTACATGGTATTTTCAACTGGGTACTGCACTGTCACACCCATGTCCCCAGGGGATCAGAGCCAGTGGAGTGCTACTGAGGGCTTCAACTACCCTCTAAAACTGGGTGGGAGGAGGATAAAAATAAAACCGCTCTGATGTGAACCCTCTGTGAGTTTCCACAATGGCCAATCACCAACTGCTGTTGTTAGGGAATCTTCTCAAGTCTTAGGGACCACAGAGGACAGAGCAGGGCTGCCCCGGGGGGTTTATGAGGCTGTAACTTTTGCCATAGCAGACAGTGACATCTTTCTTCTGTGAGGCAGCTGGTAAATTCAAACCTCTGACCTTTTCAGTTAACAAGTGCGTATTCACCAGAAAACTCACTGACATCATCGGATCAAGCGGATTCCCACTCCCACCTGTACTGATCCGAGAGGAGCGAGTGGAATGACCTCCTAGGGGTTTTGAAGCTGTTAAATCTTCTCAGGAGCAGACTGCTGCATCTGTCTCCTGTGGAGCTGCTGTAGGGTTTGAACTACAGACCTTTCAGATAGTAGTTCAACACATAAAGCATGACATGCCCAAAGCCAACACACAGGGCTAGGAAGGAACTCACACGATGGGCTCCCACCAGCCAGTGTGAACTGACAGAAGCCCAAGTATCATTAAGTCCAACTTCATTGAGAAACAGGGGTTCGGGGTGGGGGGTGGGAGGAGGAATTGGCTCGTAGTACCACTGTCGCCAACTGTGCAGCTGGGACTAGAATAGGGCCTCACGGCTCTGGCATGGGCAGGAAATGCCCACTCGCACCCTCTGGCTGACAGCTACTGTCAGACCTGCGTGAGCTTCAAGCATCATTAAATGTACTGGACCCCAGCTGGTCCTCCAGGACAGCCCAGGCTTCAAATCTAAATATCTGTCGTGTGAAGCCCAGGCCGTGGGCACAGCCTGGCCGTGGGCTGTCGTGTGAAGCCCAGGCCGTGGGCACAGCCTGGCCGTGGGCTGTCGTGTGAAGCACAGGCCGTGGGCACAGCCTGGCCGTGGGCTGTCGTGTGAAGCCCAGGCCGTGGGCACAGCCTGGCCGTGGGCTGTCGTGTGAAGCCCAGGCCGTGGGCACAGCCTGGCTGTGGGCTGTCGTGTGGAGCCCAGGCCGGGGGCTGTCGTGTGAAGTCCAGGCCGTGGGCACAGCCTGGCCATGGACTGTCGTGTGAAGCCCAGATGGCACCGCAGCTGCAAAATCCTCCCATGACCTCAACACCTGTCTTGCCTGGATCAGCGCTGACGCCCACGCATGAATTCCTCCCAGGCTGCAGCCTGCATTTTCTGATTCTTTCTGTCTGCTTTTGTTTTTTCACCAAGTCACATCTGTTTGTCTAAAGTATGTATCTGGGGAGGTGGCTGTCCATGACAGAGCTGGCTTGGCCTCTGACGGAGCCCCCTGGGTGGTGCAAATGGATAACATACCCACTGCTAACTGAGAAGTTAGGGTTTGAATCCACCCAGAGGGATCTTGGAAGATTGACTTCTGGGAAGCGAGCCACCGCATGCTCCAGGGAGTACAGCTCTGTGCGGACACACGGTGCTGTTGTGAATTAGAACTGGTATATTCACACAATGGAATACTATGCTGCAGTGAAAAACAAGGAACCTGTGAAATATTATTCGAAGTGGGTGACCCTGGAGGACATTATGTTGAGTGAAATATCTCAGTCCCAAAAGGACAAATACTGCATGGTGCCACTGTTATAAAAGAGGACTGACATGGAGGTGGGGGGGGGAGACTGAGAAAGAGGGGATAAATAATGTATACTGCACTGAAACAGATGAGGGAGAGAACTGTTTAAA